CTGAAAATAAACCCTGACTTTTAGCATTTGTCAATGTTCAGGATGTAAATATTCCCACTATGGCTAATTTCAAGCTACCAATGTGGCATTACTGAATGGGGTGTTGGGAAGGAATGTGCAGAGTTGGTTTTCACAAGCCAGTATGTGCCAGCTCTAGCATAAAACTGATATTTCCAAGTTATGTGCTCTATTTTTGTATTTGAAGTTTATTTCGCAGTTGAAAAAAAAGTCTTAAAAAAAGAATTGGGTAGTCTAATTTTCTACATTATAATTGGCTTTTCTTTTTCCAAAAGGGAAATTGATTTTGGAGAAATAGTACCATTTTATACTATATGAATTTTCTGACCTACTTTTGTGAAGTGAATGAATTGCATTAAGGTGTAGAGAATTTTGAAAAGTTGCTACTTAACATTTCCTATAACTACAACCTAATTCTAACTCTGGGGCTGAACAGATGCCTAGAAAGATAGAAGCCTTGAAGAAAACTATAGCTCTTATTTCCCCATATAGAAGGCAATCAAATATGGGAATACGAGAACTGTGTTTTGAAATAAGTTTCTGATACTGATATGTTTTGTGCTGTGCTGGTCTATGCAAATGTATCTCTAAAAGTCTGAGGAAGCTGAAAGGTCAAAGAGAAAGGCTGCAAGTGAAATTTAGAAAGAAACATTTAATAGGGACTAATGAACAGAAGCTATGAGTGTGTCTGGGAAGGTTGTGAGACAAGGTGAGTCCCTGCACCATTATCCCCCAGACCCAGGGCTTATGCACCAAAGGGAAAGGGCATAAGTGATTTAGAAGAAATATGTGGGATAATTGAAGTATTACAGCGTCAAGGTTGTTTTGACCTAAGGACAGAATTTATGGTGAGTATCTGCTCTTAAACAAGGAATAACAGATAAATGGGAAATCTTAGAGGCATTCCCAGAACTGGGTTGATCAGAAGTCAACATGGAGGATTAGCTCCAAGACGAAGTTGCGTTAGCCTCCACACAGTGAGATCTCTTTGGAGATGAGAATAAATGGAAAGGCCCTTAAATTAAATGGCACAAATGGAGACAATCTAGATAGGTTTGCTCTACAGTTAATCAGAATTCTATCTGATTCATGTCTACCTCTGACATACCTGTGGGAGCCACTGCTGCTTTATCCAGAAGAGAAGCTCAGTTTCTGAAAGAACTAATTTTTCCCATCACTTCCAGGCAGCTCCCTCCTACAGCTGGACATCATTGCTATCCTAAGCAATGGTTACTTTGTGTATTAGGCCATTCTGGCATTGTTATAAAGAAATACCTGAGACTGAGTAATTTACAAGAAAGGAGGTTTAATTGGCTTATGGTTTTACAGGCTGTACAGGAAGCTTAACACCGTCATCTGCCTTTGGGGAGGCCTCTGGAAGCTTACAATTACTAGCACAAGGCCAAGAAGGAACTTAAAGTCAAATGACGAAAGCAAAAGCCAGAGCATGAGCTAGGTTGGGAGAGGTGCTACACATTTTCTATACATTTTCAAATGACCACATCTTGTGAGAACCCACTCACTATCATGAGAGCAACCACAGGACATGGAGCTAAACCATTCATGAGAAATCCACACCCATGAGCCAGTCACCTCCCACCAGCCCCCACCTCTAACACTGGGGATTACAAATCAACATGAGATTTGGGCAGGGACACAAATCCAAACTATATCACCCTGATAGGACATTTCCTTTAAACTCTAGTTTGAGTTTTGCAAGGATCACATATTCCAGTATTCATCAAGAGTCCCACACTCAAATCCCAGGCTTTTCATTTTTACAGTATATCTTAGCAACTCACTTCATTTTCTCTTGAATAGTTTCTGTTTTCTGAAGATCCTCAGTTTCCATAAACTTAAAACATAATCTCAATTTAAGATATGATACCTTTTAAAAGTTAATAAAATGCCTAAAATCTATTAATCTCTTCTTAGGGAATATCTGTGGATGTTCTGCTAGACACTGGGAATGATATCCTGGCTGCTTAGTGTAAATGGTTCCCATTAGAGCTTCATGCCTCTGTGAAGCATTTCGTTAAAATTCTTCCAACTGCTTTTAATCTGTTTAAGCTTTGATTAAAAATGAAATAAGAAGAAGTAAAAAAAAAATGCCCTCGGCAATTTGACATTGATAATAGAAAGCTGAGAGAATTACGGATAATAGAGTAGAGATTTATTTGGATAATTTCTCAGGCAAAGTCATCAAAATATGTAAATTTTAAGAAAATATGATAATAAGTATTTGAACAAAATATAATGAGACCAAAGAGTTGGCATAATTAAAGGCATAATTCTTTCTCCAAACCAAGTTTTCCATTTAGCTACTTTGAGTTTTATTCTGGGGTCCATTACTTCTTAGTACTGAAATATATCTTCAAAGCAATGTTTCTTTTCATCTTCATTTTCAACTGCTAAAATTTTCCAGCCCTGAAAAAGAGCTCATATGTTTGCTAGAATCGAGAAGAGCTAGCCCATGAGTAATGTGCAAGTTCTGTGTGACACACATTTTGACTATTCACAGGACTTTTTTACTTACTTACCAGTTCTTGGCTTCTTTCTGGAAGAGTGATATATTGCTGCTATCTTTATAAATAATGGATTCATAAATCTGAGGCATAAAGGAAACTTAAAGATCGACTGGTAGCTTTCTAAAAGTTAAATGAGAAAACTCTTTTTGCAGGTCTGAGAGCATTATGTAGGAAGTTAAAAAATTCAAGAGATCAAGAGAGTTTAAAAAAAATCCTAAATAATTGAATTATGGATTATTTAATTCCAGATATCTAAGCTTTATGACTTTGGGTGGGAAAGAGAATTTTGTTTCATATTATCTATGCTCTCTCTCTTTTAAAATAGACTAAACCCTTTAAAATTTTATATTTAAGATATTCAGTCTTAATCTTGAATTCATATTGGAAATAAATCTTTTTTGTACAATTATATTACATATAAATATAAGCATTTAAAACACATTTGGCTTTTTATAAATTGTAATAACGGATTTTAAATCTATAGACTGTGACATAAGCCATTTGGTATGCTGTAAATGTCCTATATTTTCTTAAAATCTGAGTTATTCTAAATGACTGCATTTGTAATTCTCTATATTTTTTAAGCCTAAACATTCCGCAAGTATATGATTTATGTTAGGTCTTTACAAATGTTTATAATTGCCCTCTGAGATCTTTTAGTCTCATGTCTTCCTCTTGACTGTGGTACCCTCAGATCTGAGTTCTCCATTAAGGCACACTCAGCAGTAATACAGCCCAGCTCCAATGCTATCTCTCCCTAAAGCTTTTTTTCCTTTAGTTGTTTGAAGGCACTATCTTCATAATACAACAAATCCTTGAATAATTGTTAGGCTTTGGTCACCCAAAATCCCTGAAGAGGTAGCTAGACTTTCTTTAATGTGTGACACATGAAAATTCTTAGTTACCAATGAGTTCTACCAAAACAAACGAACAAACAAACAAAGAATTTCATAGAGTATTGAAGAATGAACCCCAAATGTGCCTGTGTTTCTTGTGTCTTCTACAAGGGGATCTACAATGGTGCCATTTACTGAGATGAAGTTGTCTGTACTTTTTCAGCTTTGTGCATAAGTGATTCATTATGTTAGTGGTGTGGGAGATGATATAGGAACTAATAAAATATTGCTTACACCCTCCACATCTGTACACAAGGCGGCAAGGGGATCCGATCCCTGTAACAGGCTCTTTTTACTCAGCTTCATTATCCTGAGGAGGCTATTTCCATGTTCTCTTCCCCAACCCAGCCCATTCTTTCTTGTTGTTTGTAGCCTGCTGAACTTCAGCTTCAATTCATGTTCTTATTTTCTCCACGTTCTCCTGGGCTTCAAACTTTAGACCTTTCCCTATCTCTTGGCTCATTCCTTACTGGGATTTGACACTAAACCCTCTTTGCTCTGTGCCCTGAATCTGAGAGCTGGCCACACCTGCTCCAGTGCCCTGCCACAGTGCTGAAGTGTAGCTGCATGGTGCAAAAGAATAAAATGGAGAGTGAGTTTGGGAGGATGATGTCTTTAGTCTGACAAGTTGAGAATGAAATGTCCACAAGAATTCAACAGGTAGCTCAGGAAGAAAGTCTGTGCTGGCAGTAAAGATGTGCCATATAGAGAAATAAAAATATCAATGGTATGGGGTCGATTACCAAGAGAAGCAAAACAAATGAGAAGAAAAGACAGCTCAGCAAAGAGCCCTTGCCATTTCAGGAAAGGCAAAAAAGAGGGTTCCTGTGAAGGAGACAAAGGAGAACAGAAAAGAGAGAATAGCATTCCAAAAAAGTCAAATTGATAGTCTATCTTCACAGAGAAATAAGGACTATACTTTTTACATTGCTGACTTAGAATAATTTTAAAGAAAGGCTAAAGACAGAAATGAGACTGATGTGCAGTGAGAAATATGTGGATGGTGGGGGAGGAACTTGGAAGGAGGAATCATTTATGCATTGGCTCAAGGAACTGTCAATCTGCGGTACTGTGGGAAAATTCCTTAAACTTTCCAGTCTATTTCCTCAACCACAAAATAAAGACATTAGAATAAGTCATCTTGGACCACCATTCTTCCTTATATTTAATTATTTTGGAAGTCTAAATTCTTAATAAGGAGCAAATTATAACAGGCTAAGTTATATGTTATTGTCATCATAACATAAAGATGATATTGCTACAATCACATTTGCAAGTTTGTTCTGCCTTTAACAACCTGCAAGGAATGTGACACTGCTTTATTTTTTTTTCCATCATTTGCATTGCTTCAGCAGTTCATGGCTGTCATAGTTGACTTACATTCCTAATTTGTTTTCATTGGTAAAAAGAATGTGCCACATTATTTTGAAGCAGTAATGAAAAGAAAAAAAATAGAATGGGAAATGCACTACTTTTACAAATAGAGAGTTTTTTTGAACATTAGGCTACTAAAGATTGCTTCTAAAACTTTTTTTTATAAATCTCTTTTAAATCCCAGGTATTGCGATTTCAGATGAACTTGATAAGGTAAGTTGAACCATACATCTGGTGAAAAGAAAATGTAGAACTTACCTTTTATTCCACTGTTTCGATACAAATAAATTTTCTGAAACACATAAAATGTTCAAGTATAATTTATTTGGTTCTAACATTTTAAAACTTTCAAAGTTATGTGCATATTATTTTATGAAAGCTATTCCATTACATATACATCACCTACTTTTTTGAGTCAAGGTCTTTAGAGTTAGGTTAGAGAAAATGGAATCAGTGTAATCACTATATTGCAAAATAAAAACTAATAACACTATGTTATATAAATTATTTGATTCCACTTGTATGTAAATGATAATGATATGGAAGACATATGTATTTTTGGTAGCTTCTCTTTGGAAACTTTACCAATAAGGTTTTTGTATTTTTATTTTAATTTTCCAAGATGCCAAGAGCATATGATGGTGCTTTGAAGTGGGGTAGTAGTTGTGATGGTGGTGAGAAATGGGTGATTAGGAATATATTTTTATAGTGTGTCACTGGAACTTGCTAATGGATTGGATGTGGTAAATTACAGAACAAATCAATCAATGATGATTGCTAGGTTTGGAAGATGAGCAACTACATTGACTGTGGTACCACTTACTAAAGTTAGAAAAGCTGATGAAAAAAATCAAATTTGTCAGGTTTGGATACCATCAAAAATTCTTTAGATTGTTTATTGTGAGTTGCCTATTAAACATGTTTACATGAGCTGTTGCTTAGAGAGAGATTTGATTTATAACTATACATATTCTCATTTTTTCTAGTCTCAAAAGCCCTTTACATTGTTAAAAATTAGAGAGGGCCCCAAGGAGCCTTGATTTATATAGATTATTTCTATCAATATTACATTCTTGTGTTGATAATATATCTATATTAGATATCTAAACATGTTAAAAATTTAAACTGATAACAAATTTACTTTTTTAAAAAATAGCATTACATTAACAGAAATAATGAAAAATACTTTTATTTTCTAAAACAAAATGTTAGTAAGAAAGTTGCACTGTTTACATTTTGAAAATCTCTTTAATGTCTGGCTTAATTAAAAACTGCTATATGTTCATATCTACTTCTGCATTCAATCTGTTGTGATATGCTGTTTTGACTGAAAAAAATATCTAACATCAGACGTGTAGCTGGAAAGAGAGAAACACGTAGAAATAGCCGTCATCAATATTTGGTGAATGCTGCTCTAGATATCTTTTGAGACAGAAAATATATTGCAACTTGGCTTGGAGGCTTGATATATACATAAAAAATGATAGAAAGTATTGTCTAGGTTGGATATACCTTATCCAAAATACTTGGGGCTAGAAGCATTTTGAATTTCTGGTGTGTGTGTGTTTTTTTTTTTTTTTTTTTTTTTTTTAACACTCACCTATACATAAAGAGATATCACGGGCCTGGGACCAAAGCCTAAAACAAAATTCACTTGCATTTCATACACATCGTATATGCATCACCTGGAGGTAATTTTATGCAATGTTTTTAATAATTTTGTGCATGAAACAAAGTCTTGACTGGGTTTTCACTGTGACTTATCACGTGAGGTCAAGTATAAAATGCTCTACTTGTGAGGTCATGTCAATGCTCACGATGTTTCAGAATTTGAAGCATTTCAGATATTCAAGTTAGGGATGCTCAACCTCTACAAAAAATGGAATCATATAAAATCCGAGATTTTAAAGCAATAAGGTACTATGTAATAATTGTATTATTTTTATGAAAACCATAAAGCTAGTATTCTATTCCAGATATAACACAACTCTTTTTGGATTTTGTGCCAGAAGAATGTATTTCTGACTCACCAAAAAAAAAAAAAAAAAAATAGAGTTCATGAATATATTCTTAAATATATATTTCCTTTAATAAACAAACCATCATAATATTTTAGAAATAGTTTCATCGTCATCTGTACCGATTCCAGGCAGAACTCCACGTTGACTATACTCAATGGCAAGTGCGTAAGTGGTAGCCCTGGCTTCCCCGCCTTGTTCTGCTTTTCTAGCTCCCCTCTGCGTGCCTCTCATTGTCTCGCCCCAGCTGGTCCCCTTCATATGCCATGATTTTCCTTACAGTTTGCAGAAATGTAATAAGTCTTCCTCTTTCAGTTATGAGCTGTGTTCATTTTCAGTACAAAGATATAACCATCACCATTTCTAGGTTCATTTGCTCCTTCTAGTACATTCTGCAAAACCTTGGCTGCCTGAGCCATAAATTAGCTTCTGTGGGTTGTTACTGTGCTTTGATCTTGTTCTTCTTTTTTTTCCTGAGCTCCGACTTGCAGCGGCTTTGGTGTCCACACCTTTGTTGATGAGCTAAAGAATTTTGACTGTTCTTTGAACTAAAACAGATATAACCCTCATCGTATAAATTATGGTTGCCCTGACACTGCTCAGGACATAGCCTTCTCCCTCACACCCTCTTTCTTCCTAGCACTAGCTCAGGGGAATAGTCATATAACTAAATTGCATCACACTGCCAATTTTCATTTACTTATCTAATATTCCTGTTTTTTGAAAACTTTGTGAAAGCTGCTGAATTTTGTTGCACATTTATTATTTTTCACTTTTATTGAGGAAGATGCCAAAAGTTGTCATAAATAATTTTTCACTTAAAAAATATTTCCGTGCCAAAAAATAAAATCGACCCCTCTTTCAGATCTGATTTTTGAAGCATGCTGGATAATAGAAAGGAGTCACTGGCTTCCAGAGGCAAAGGCACCATTCTTTGCCTGTCTGGCGAGCACCCTTGCTTGAGTGGGAGAGCCTGTCCCATAGCACCCTCTGGTGACCATAAGGCTCACAGTTATGAATTTTCCTCAGAAAAAGTGAATCTCAGGGAGGCAGCCACTGAAAAGCAGCCAATCAGAGTGGTTTGCAGTTAGTATTCACCTGGTGCCTCGTCTTTAATGTAATAATAAAAATAAATACAGGTTCTTCCTTTTGCTCTTCCCTTAACAGTTTTGGGCATTCACTGATTGTATGTCTTTCTTAACCTTTGTAAAATATGAAATTTTTAACTGTCATTTCCTAATTCAGTTATAATTTCATTGAAATCATTTTTTCATGACCTTTTATGTTACTCTGTGAATTCTGAGAAAGGTTATAAAAATCATTAATTCTATTTAAAATCAAGAAATAAAATGAAACAGAGTTTAATGTTTTTAAAACTTTTTTTTTTTTTTCAGTTGTGGGAACTCTATCAATTCCTTAGTTATTAGTCTTTTTCTGTCCCTTCTGTGACCACCATATTGGCTTTCTATTGCTGCTGTTACACCTTAAAACAACACAAATTTATTATCTTACAGCTCTATAATTTCAAAGTCAAACAAGAGTTTCCCTGAGCTAAACAAAGTCAAGGCGCAATTGGCATTGCCTTCCTTCCATTCCAGGAGAAATCTGTTTTCTTGTCTTTTCCAGCTTCAGGGCAGCCTGTATTTCTTTAGTGCATGGCCCCCTTGCTATGCTTTTAAAACCAGCAACCTCTCTTCTGTCTCTAACTTCAGCCAGGAGCAACATTCCCTTTTTATGGAATCATGTTAGGTTGAGGCCACCTGGCTAATGTAGATAATCTCTCCATCTCAACAACTTTATCTTAATCATGTGAAGTCTCTTTGCATATTTGTGCGAATGTAGTTATGTAACTAATTGCATATAAAAATGTAAATATTCATCCACTTGTAATGGAACATATTCACAGGTTTATTAGGACATGAACATCTCTGGGAAGTCATCATTCTGCCCACACAGCCACTGTCTAAGTTCAAATGGTAGTACCTTGCATGTGGTTCTTCAAGTTCCTTTGATTCCAATTCATCCTTCAAAATGCCACACAATAGACATGGTTGGTGCCTGCCCAGTTTCCCTCCACTAGGGCAGTGTGAACTTTCCTTCAACTGCTATGAGTGTTGGGTGTTATATGCTTGTTTTCCTGTCTTCTCCTGGTTCCCTCATTCATTTATAGGTTTCACTTGAGAGAACCCCTCAATAAATCATTTTCTCAGCATCTCATTCTAGGGAAACTTACCTAAGACATACCACAAGAAGATTCTTCCTAAAGCAAAATCTTGTTGAAATTTTTTTCTTGATTCTCTGGCATCTACCAAACTAAGTCCAAATTTCTTTTTTAGCCATTTTTATTTTATTTACTTTATAAATAACCTGTGAATATGTTCCATTACAAATGGACAAATATTTGCATTTTTACATGTAATTAGTTACATAATTACAAATGCATTAATATCTACATTTTTATATGTAATTAGTTACATAATTACATTTGCACAAATATGCAAAGAGGCTTTGTCACCCAGGCTGGTGTGCAGTGCTGTGATCATAGTTCACTGCAACCTTGATCTCCTGGGCTCAGACGATCCTTCCATCTCAGCCTCTTGAGCAGCTGGGACTACAAATGTGTGCCACCATGCCTGGTTGATTTTTAAATTATTTTAGAGACAGGGTCTTACTATGTTGCTCGGGCTGGTCTCGAGCTCCTGTCCTTAATCAGTCCCTCCTTCCCAGCCTCCCAAGGAGTGGAGATTTTGTGTGTGAACCACCATGCAGGCTCAAGGCCAAATTTCTAACACTAGAATTAACAGTCTCCATGTTGTGGCTCACATCTATCTCTTATACTTTATTTCCTTCTTTTTTCTATTCAGACTGTATTGTACTCAACAAGAAATAGGGTAAAGTAGCCAGAAGATAGTACTTCTAGGTCATACTTTTATTTATTTTCATATTTTTGTTCATGCCATTCCCTTTTCTTTCTCTGTGATTCCCTCCTTCAAGTTCCAGCCTCCCTAGTCAGCCCTGCAGAAAGTGAGCTCACCTGCCGTGATCCTTTAGAGAGCACACTGACTGCATCACAAATGACACAGTTTGTGTTCACTGCTTGAAGAAGTAGCCTAGTATTCTGAAACAAATCCACAGAAAGGCTTTGGATTGAATCTTGGCACCTGCCATTTACTAACTACATGGCCTTCAGGAAGT